ACGTTAGAAGGGAGTAACAGACTAGTCGAGTGGTGGGGGGAGCGACCTTGAGGCGCGAGTGAATCGAGCCAGGCTATAGCGGCAGGAATCGTAGCTCAAACAACTCGCTCCTTATTGACACCGTTCCCGTTCACCGCAAACACTCCGGATGACTAACGAAATTGAATTGCAAATCCATCCAGGATGATCGATACACCGGTGAACCGGCTCGATGAGCCGTAACTTTTCCAGCAACGTCGAAATTCGACAGATTAGGAGGTTATGCGTGAAATGATATTTCCCCCCGAGAAGAACACCGGGTGATCTGTTTAAAACCGACCACGTAGCGTCTGTTTGTTCGAATCTACGACACGTATGGAAAGCTAGCTGCTGGCCTCGACTCACGCGACACGACCGCCTCGCCAATCGGCACGATATTTCACGACACGGCCTGTTACACACGCGTATCCCAGAATTACAAGTACACGCGGCTCGTTTCAAAGGGAGAACACGTCGATCCCACGAATCTTCCCAGCGGAAATTCGCGCAATTCAATCCGTCTGCGACATCGTCGATAAAATGTGAACAATTTTCGCGAAAAATCTGAAAGTGCTTGTGAATTATTCTTTAAAAACAATTCGAATATATAAAATGTCTCGGTCGAATTTTATCTAAATCGAATGATTTTTCTGGCGTCGAAAAAAAATATGTTTTTCACAGGGAAATGTCGCCTCGGTGAATCGATCGGAGCGTTGAAGTAGGAAAGGATGGCTCTTTACAGAAATCGCGGTGCTCCAGATGAATTCTGGCAGCCGTTCGGTCACCGGGAGCTGATTATCGACAGTCACGGAATAACTCCGGCGAGCAAATATAATTCACGCCGGTGTTTGCATTCCCGGTAATTTATTATCGGCCCCGAACACGCCGGGCATTCGCCAACGGAATATGCACGCGATTATTTATCACACTGGCGATGCCCTCCGAAACAAGCGGCGGCACGCGCGTGCAGCAGGCCACGCTTACTCCTCGCGACGACGCCGCACGACCAGAACTCGCCACAATCCAACCGGGATACAATTAAAACTTGGCGAATTAATAATCCCTCCACCCGGTAGAATGTGGAGCGCCAAGTTGCCACGTAGAATCTCCCAGTTGTAGGGATTGTTTCGTTCCGCAGTGGATAACTGCGAAAGTGGGGAAGTCTAGGAGCAATTTCTAAATCCTGAAGAGCATCGCGCGTCTTCTGTGTCTGGGCCGCCTAGAAATACTACAACGGGTGGCCGAATTATCGCGATCACTTTGGAAAGGATGGAAATATATTTAGAATGAAACTTTCTTTTGTTAGGAAAAGTATCGTTGTTTTTTTCATAATATACAAGAAGGATTGTTAAATGTTGGAAAATATATGCAGGGTGTCTCGGTAATGACAAAACGACCTGTGTTCGTATAACATCTTCTTCTTGCTTATACCTGTAGATCGCACTAGGAAAGTTTGGTAAAAAAAAATTGGGCCACCCGGTATATCAATATTTCGCCATGCCACTCTTGGCATCTATACGTTTCGGCATACTTTCGCTATTTTTTCTCCAGTTTTCTTTCATACCGTCGTTTATTATCGCGTCCGGTGCAACTCGACGTTTCGTAATCGGGAGAGTTTCCAAGCCACGACAAAAACTAGAATTTCAAAGACGAGAAAAAAAAAGAGAATGTATATTTTACTATCGTCGAAGTGACAATACCGCCGAAAAGAAGCTACCTAATTGTCTCGTCTGATCGTCCATTGTATTCCGACGCTGTAGATGTTCGAACGAACCGGAAGTGTGAACGACGGAGAGACGGATCCCGAACGAAAAAACGCATTCCCCGTGCGGGAACGAAAAGAATGCAAACGCGGTACCGACAGAAAGGCACCGACTCTAATTGATATAACCAGATAAGAGGCACGAGGAGAGAGATAGGAACGCGACTTGAATTCGAAGAGGGCCTGAACACACGCGAAAAGACGTCGACGGGAGGGACAGAGGAGGGAATCATCCTCGCGGAATTCCCCCTTTGTCCGAGCCGAAATTCCATCGGGCAGCCGCAAAGAAAAGACGATCTTCTCGGACGAGCCTAGACTGTCAACCGGCATTTCTTCTTTTTTTTTTTCTTCTCCTTTTCTTTCACGTCTGACGGATTCATTATGTAATTCTCTCTCTTTCTCCCCCTATCTTTCAAGACGTCTTGGAATTCAATTGTTTCAAAGTCGTGGAAACTCCAACAACGACTTTCTCCCTTTTTTTACTTTATAGACGTTTCTTCTTCCTTCTACCCATCCTCTCCCCTCTACACACATATGTACGCGCGCTTGTGTATACCTGGTTTAGTGTGTTCCTTAATTTTCCGTGTGTACGTGGGTTCAAACTGGCGCAAAAGACGCGAAGCGTAGGAGGGTTATACGAGGAACTGGCGACCAGAGAAAATAATACCGAGACCTCTCCCCCGGCGACCTTTCAAAGCGGCTACTCAACTTCGCAATTTCGTTTATTGCGTAGTTTGCAAGAGGCTGCGTATCGCCGCGGTTAAATCCGGAGAGAACTCTTCTTTTCCTTCCTTCTTCCTTCCCTTTTTTTCCGCTCTCTTCTTTTTGAGTCGAGTTCGCCTTCCTTGACTCTACAGCGCGCCTACGCTCACGGTTTATTAAATCCACCCCCGTCCAACCCCGTCGCCGGCACTATTCGCGCGTTCGACTCCTTTCTGTTTATTCAATGGCGCGTTCGAACGACGAGGGAGGAAGACAGAGCGGGTCCACCTTCTTTTTTTGTCCTTGATCGGAGAATAAAGTATATTCGATACGAAGTTCAAGATGGAGAAACAATCATAGAGTGGTTTTAGATGGTTCTTCTGATTGGAACTTTGTACTCGACGGTGGAAAAGTTCTGCAATCGAATTACAGAGAGCCAGAAGGACGTCGAATCGATTCCTCGCGGAGCGATAAGGACTTAACGGTGGATTAAAAGTGACCAAACGCGGTTCAGAAATGGCTGGGCAGTTTTTTACGCTGAAACATTTGACTTCGTTTGAATTCCAGCTGTAGATTTTCACTTGTACATCTGAAAATTGTTTAATGTGAATTATGCGCAATATTTGATCTTCTTTTTATGTGACGTGGTATTGAAATAGGAAACAGCTGATACTTAGGTGCGTAGCCATTAAAAAAATCGCGAGGCGATTATTGACCCAAGTGAAATTTCACTCCCGTATTTCTTCGAAACGAATTTTTATTTTTATCGAAAAAAGTTTTGAACATTTCACTTAGAAACGATTTTACAATGCAGTAGAGACTTCGACAAGAGCTCCAGAATTTTTTCAGATTTTTCGAAAGCTTAAAACAGTGAAAAAATTAAACTTGAACAGAAACTACGAAAAAGTATGTTTCCCTACGAAGGCAAAGAATGAAAAATAGTAATAATTATTCCAAAGAATTTTTTCTGTACGATTTTTTATTACCTTTCGGTCGACAGTATTAAAGCACAAACTAATATTATTTTCCGCGTTCGCCAAAATTAAAGATCGTAAGCTGAACGATATTACTATTATAAACTATTAAGAGGTTAATATTGGCGCCATGAAAAAAGAAGTATGGCGGTCCAGGGACGTGTAACGAGCGCGGTGGAAGACAAATGGCGCGCCCCCGAGAAACGCGACACCCCTGCGGTTCGGTTGTTGAAAAAAAGAATACCGCCCGAACCTGTAGTCTCGCAGCTCGTAGGCTAGAAATACGAGCGGCGCGGATATTGGACACGTCGCGGGGAAAAATGCAGACGTAACTTGATTTTCAAATTTTTCAAACATGCCTGGGGCTACCTTTAGGATTGTTTATTAAACGCGCACCCCATCGTAGAATCTGGTTATTCAGTGCTTCACGCGGCTCACAGGGTGATGCTTTTGGGAAAGACTATAAGTATCCCGTAAAAACTTTTAATATCTTCGAACGATGGAATTTTATTATTTTTTAAAATGTTTCATGGTTATGTGAACGAATAAAATGTCACGTGAAATGTACAGAATTTAATAGATAATACGAAGATAATGTTTCTTTACGAATCACCCTGTACATTGTCTAATGGTCGTGAATGTAAAATTAAAGGATTCCAGTCGAGCTACGACCTCGAGTCCATCATTTTTTTAGTATAAGACGCACGATAAGAGTGGCAGAGACAAAATAAGAATTCGAAACGATGCAATGTGGCTCGTTAAACGCATGTTTAAACTTACCAGACTTTCTGAATCAACATGGCTGACAGCGATCGAAGAAATACGTCGATATACTGTGCCAAACAGCATTGTTGATCGGAGAAAATAAGACGAGACGAAGAAACAGGAAACGGAGGCTGGGGGATGGCTGAACGGAAAGTCTGAGGGATAAAATGGTTGAAAGGTCAAGCCACGGATGTCCGGAGGGTTTGCGCGAGATTGGGCGGGAAAAAAGAGTGAAAAGGAGGGAAGAAAATCGGGACCAACCTTTCTTTACGCTCCTTTGTTTTGTATCTGACATATCCCCTGCTCCCATCTCCCCAATAAGGTAGAAATCCGCTGGAGCGTGAGGGATGCAAGTGACAGCTGGAACTGTTATACCCTGACAGCTGAACGCCGTTCGATTCTCGATGAAACAAGCGCGACAAATTGCTTCCGCGACTTCGTTAACATTAATGGAGAAATATACGATCCGTTGAAGCGTCGTCTGGTCGATTGGCGCGCAAATATGAATTCTGGCGCCCTCTGTGAACGATTCTGTAAATTGAAGTTCAAAGTTTGCCTACTATTCAAAATGGCACCTTTCGAAAAATAACACGGATGCGTGTTTATGAAGGAGTTACATGGAATAATTCAGAGATGTACGATTCGTATAAGCTATTTATTCCTCGCTTACAAATTATATATAAATAAAAGCTTCGATCTCACTATTTACATACGCTAGAATAAAAAAAGGTCTTCGATATTTGTTTAGATACAGTGTGTTTTAAAGAACATCACCCTGGCAAAGGCTCCAAGTGAAATAACGACCAGCGTCAATGACCAGACACGAAGGAGCTTTCAGAGAGTTAAGGGATAGTGATCTATCGTCAACCAAATTCCGTCGATCTTGAGGAAGGAGTCGTGCGTTTTCGTTGGTCGAAATCTTCCACTTTACCTCCAAACTGGCACACACAAGATACATACGAAGTATTCGTTCAAGAGGAGTCTACGGAGGTAAGCATTAACAACTTCTCCAGTTCGCGTAAGAGCTGTGCAATATGTTCTATTAACGTGGAGCCAGTCATTGTGACTGGTCGTAACGTTTTGCTGTAGCACTGTTTGTACAAATTGACAAGTGCTTCTGACCTGAAATAAATTCATCGATTAAAGATATACGATAATTATATTAAAAATGTGTAATTTGAAACTACATACTCTTTTTTGTTACTGCTGTTGTTTTTAGTGACGAATAATTTAGTTAGAGATCGTAAGGTGAATTGCAACCTCTGTTCCATTAATACCACTAAACTTTCTTCACTCTCCATCAACTTTTGTTCTTCAATCCCTTTCCCCTCTTCCGTATTTCCTTTTTCTGCTTTATTACTCACAGTCTTCTCATTATCGGCTTTCTGTCTTTGAGAATTATTCTTATCGCACACTATGTCTATAATAGGTCTACATTGTAAAATTAATTCAAGACCATTCTGATATGCTTTTAACTTGCCATTAAAAGTCGTGGCACCTGTAATCCATTATTAACTATAAGAATAGGACTTTTTTTTGTTAAATTCAATGGAATTGCGCTATAAATAAATACGTACAACGCGCGTGATGTTCTGCTAGAGCAACCCTCTCCATCTGCACTGTTAAAAATTCTGTAGTTTGCTCCAAAGATAACAACAATTTTGCAGCCTTGTCGTAATAAAGCTTGCACAACTGTAAACTTGTTTTTCTTTTAATGTTATCCACGTCTGGTTCGTATTCTCTATAGACACGATGATACAAAGATGCAAGTCGATGTTGAATCGTTGCGGCACGGAATTGATAAACTGGTTGTCTTGGTCCAGCCGTTTCCACGTCGCAATGCTTTAGAGCTTTCTGTAGAAAATCAACAACTTCTCGTTCCAGCTCTTCTTCCGTCTAAATTTACAATAAAGCGCACACTAATGCAACTACTGATACAAATATAATTCAAATAAAAAGAAAGTCAAGAAACATACCTTGCACCCAGTTGTAGGATAGTCTTGTAGCAATGTAGCCATAGTGAATAAAGTGGTAGACAAATCCCATGTAACGGTATCCCAAATCATGGGATTTGATTTTCTCGAACCTAAGACTTGCAAGGCTTTTTGATAACTCGCAAGAGCTTTATTGTAGAAATGGCGTTCTTGAGTGTTTTGTTTAACGTGCATGTGTGCACAGAGTCGCATAAGTCTTCCTGTATTCGAGTGTAAGAGGGCTAAGTTTGCTTCATCGTGAACAGTTTCGAATGCTTTCACGCCTGCTTCTAAGTGAGTCAACGATCGAGTGAGCAGCGATGTTATAGCACTCATGGAACTCGATGATTCTTCTGCTAAATTTTCTTGTTGGTACCGTGCTGTAAAAATTCTGTAATTTATTCTATTCGTGTATATATAGTTTTTAGTTATAGTAAAAAATACTTACTTCCCGCTTGATTCATGTAAAGTACACCTAATTCGTTATGAATGTTTCCCAGTCGCCTCAGAAGATTATTTTTATCCATTTCCAATGGTTCTAAAGACAATGCTTCTTTATAACACTTATAAGACGCTGCTAGAGTAAATTCTAAACTTTCTAAATGTTGTGGCAATAATTCTTCGCCATCTAAAATACACAAAGATAATTAGTATTTAAACGACGATTATTTTAACGTATTTTTTACCTATCAACATACTCGTGTCTAAATCTTCCATTCTGCAAATCTCTTCGACGATCTTCTCTTCGGTTTCATGCCTCATTTCATAGTCCTTCCTGTGTTTCTCGACGTTACACCAATCTTGCACAACCATGAAGCAACAATCTCCCGCGCGGCCTAATAAATAACTCAACGACTTGTCGTTTCTGATACCGCAGAACATCTCCAATATTTTCTGGCAACGTAAAACCGCCAACATGTATCTTAACGAGGCTCCATAATTTTTATTGACATATTCATTCTCGGCGAGCACGGCAAAAATTAAAGAAGCCTTCTCGTATAACAATGTTTTCAAATGAGCGTTCCAACTGATGTTATCACTTTTTTTGGGCGCCTGCCATGTAGGCAATGTTTCTACTTTTAGTTTGCATAACAGTGCTTTAGGTTCACGCTCATCAGGCTCCTGTTTTACAACAACTTTTTCAGCTTTTTTAGCTCTCTTCTGTTTTAACTTCTTTTTATGAGTAGGGCTGTTATTTAGTAAACTTTCCCCTGATTCAGACTCTTTTCTATCCTCTTTCAGAGAGACATATGGCATAGGAATCGCTTGGAAAGGTTTTGCCATATTCAAATGATTCTCTTCGTACTGCCTTTTCTCTTTCTCCTTTTCTTCTTCTTCATTCCTGTCCTCTTCGGAATTATCTTCAGTCGGGAAATACTGTAAACATTCTAGTCCACAATAAACGTGCTCCAGAGCGGCCAAACATCTTTCTTCAACCGTGCCCGAAATTGGCGGTGGTTTATACTTCGGTTCTTGACATTCTGCGTGTTCTTTGACTAAAAATAAAATATAAATAATTTATCGAAATTATTTATGCACGAAACAAATATAGAATCGTTCGAAATAATTGTTGTTCTTACTATTGGCCAATGTTAAAGACTTTATGGCTGCATCTTCAGTTTCTTCTTCCTCCTCCTTTTCATTGTCATAATACATGCTCGATTCGCTTTGTGTATCCTCTTCGTCACTTTGATCGGAAAGTCCTGGGTTAGCAGGGTCTGTATCTGACGGTATGTAAAGATCAGACAACATAAAATGTGCAGATGTCACAATTTGTGGATACTTTTCCTTGGTCAGTAATTGTATACAATTCTTCAATAGCATTCTAATGGTACCCCTTTGTCTATGATAATCAGAAGAGTACTTCATATTACGGGCTACCCTATAGAGCAGCATAGCAACAGGTACAGTGAATGGATTTTGACCTTTCTCATCAGACATATCGTTACACAAAGATGTTAAGTCATACAACTTCACAACATCGTCGTCCTTGCCTTTAAACAACCAATAAGTATGCCCAGCCTTGGTTACATTATTTTTTAAGAAACTTAAAATATTTTGTGCAACATCCTTGATGACTTTGGGGCTGAATTTAGAATTATCTAAATTAGGGAGATCTTCTGTCTTTATTAATTCATACTTTTGGACAATACCATCCAAGTGATAACACATTACTACTTCTGGAACATTACACATCAAGTTGTCCAACCAATAATCTATACCAGTTAACACATTGATGGGCTTGGTCATGTCTCTCAGTCTGAGGCTTATACACGGATGAGTTTGCCCTCCAAATATAGGCATATCAGTGCCAATGAGCATTTGTATATTCTCAAAAGTCCAGAGAATATTTCTGGCAAAATTGTGATTATAATTTGGATCCGGTACTTTCTCTTCTTGCGAGGGCTCTGGTAAGCATGGTTCCAGTGTTTTCACAGGTAACTGTGGTTTGGTCTGTTGCTCCTTATTATCACCCACTAATATCGAATGATACAAAAATTTGGATACCAAGTTTCTCTGCTGCAAGGTATTTCTGCTGTTTGTCTTGTGAAACAGACATTTCTCCTTGTCTCCCAGATTGTGGAAAATGTGTTCGTAGAAGAACTTCTTCAGCCACTCCCAGTCACTCTCCGCACGTCTGAGCAAGTATTTGTGAATATCAAAATCATCCAGCAACAGAGTATTTTCAATTCTGTGAACCACCATTGATATGACTCCATGGTTGTACGGTAGTTTCAAGAGTTTCTTTATATTCTCAGCATCGGACACGACATCAACCTCTCCCACACAGTCAGGGAACATGTGTGCCATGCGAAAGCTGGAAAATCCAGAGGTCTGTGACCAAACACTTTGCAGTCCGTAGCTTTCTGCAGAGCTGCTTAGCCAATTGCTCGGTGGTAAATTCAGATCTGTGTTGCATTGTAATTGAGCATAAGTCGCTGGTGTCGGAACGGCAGAATATTTTACAACGGCGGTAGACTTAACTGGTTTCTTGGGTGAATCAGACGGTATGGCCAGAGGCATAGGATTGACCTAAAATAAAAACAGTTACACGAATACGTGACATTGAATACCCGACATCACTTTTATATCTAACACGTTCGTTCAAATTGTAAATAAAATCACTAATATCGTCTATACGTTGTTTGCCAATACTGGCGCGAGGAAGTGTTCCTAATATATCGTACGGAAAATACTTTCGATAAAACAACCATGTCAAAATAAAGCACCGAACGTAGCTAATTGAACGACACGTTACTTACTGTATCAACTTTGGTCACCGCGCTTTCTGACATTTTTAATTTCGAACGGTGTCACTCGCGTCTCTCAAAACATGTCGTTCCGTTCCAAAATTTCTAGAAGGAACCAGAATGTATATCGAGACACCTCGTCGACCGCTCGCATAGCACGCAACCACTGATTATGCGATATATGCAGGTAGGATGTAAGAGTTTAGAAACAGTTCCCTACTTTACCAACTCCCACTCTACCTTACCAACAGAGAACACATCCACCGTTTCTACTCACACGACAACATATCGGCATTAATTTCACCGGTAATTACTAAAATAATTACCACAATTATTCTATCAACTCCCACAAAACGCCAACTTCAAATACACCAAAAAATACATGAAAAACACAGCGAAAGTAATATTCCCTCGAATTCCACAAAAATAAAAAATCCACAGAGGTAAAAACTAGGGCACGAATAATTCATCAACGAGCCAGGTAAACCGAAACCCAGCACACCCTTCGGTAACAAGCTTACGTCATAATATTTATATTAACGTAAAGGGTCGAAGCAGCGAGGGCATAACACGGAGATTATAACAGCGAACCGAAGCCAACGAAGATCATCGATCAGCCTAACAGAGACACAGGGGGAGCGTCTCTCCATTCTACATCGTCGAAACAACGTGCATGTTCCGAACCGAGAAGTAAAAGGTTAGCCTAACGACGCGTGCAGAAAAGTACGTTTATCCGCGGCGCTGAATGGATTCTGAAGCCGTGGAACCGCTTGACGTCACTGGTACCACGCTCCTATATAAGACGACGATCGGTAGCCCGACGATCCAGTCGTCGACGGTGGTTACACGACCGGAAACAAGTCAGAAAGCACCTTCGTCGAGCTCGGAAAATGGTGGTGAACTTCAAGGTCTACAAGAAATGCTCCCCGAACGGCAAGATCGCCCTTTACCTAGGCAAGAGGGATTACATCGACTATTTGTCGGGCATTGAGCCAATAGACGGTGTCCTGCTGTTGGACCAGGACTACGTGGACACCGGTAGAAAGATATGGGGCCAGTTGGTGTGCAGTTTCCGTTACGGCAGAGAAGAGGACGAGGTGATGGGTCTGAACTTCCAGAAGGATCTCTATCTAATCTCGGAACAGCTGTTCCCATCTACCAAGAAGCTCGAGGACAACTTGACCAGGCTTCAGGAACGTCTGCTGCGAAAACTGGGCCCGAACGCGATTCCGTTCACCTTCAAGTTCCCGCAGACAGCTCCGTCCAGCGTTACTTTGCAGTCCGGCGAGGACGAGTCTGGAGAACCGTGCGGAGTCAGCTACTTCCTCAAGATCTACTCCGGAGACACGGAGACCGACGTGACTCACAAGAGAAGCACCGTCAGCATGGGTATCAGGAAGATCCAGTACGCTCCTACTAAACAGGGCCGTCAACCGTGCACGGTGGTTCGTAAGGACTTTCTTCTGAGCCCCGGCGACTTGGAGCTGGAGGTAACTCTGGATAAACAGCTGTATCATCACGGAGAGAGGATAGCTGTGAACGTGTGCGTGAGGAACAACAGCAACAAGGTGGTGAAGAAGATCAAGGCGCTCGTACAGCAGGGTATCGACGTTGTGATCTTCCAGAACGGGCAGTTTCGTACGGTGATCGACGCTGTGGAGACGCAGGATGGATGTCCTATCAATCCGGGCTCGAATTTGACCAAAGTGCTTTATCTGAAGCCGGACTTGGAGAATAACAAGCATCGGCGGGGTATCGCTTTGGATGGGAAGTTGAAGAGAGAGGAGAACGAGCTTGCGTCTAGTACTTTGCTCACTTCGCCGGATGTGCGTGATTCGTTCGGTATCGTCGTGTCGTACGCAGTCAAGGTCAAGCTGTATCTTGGAGCTCTGAGCGGGGAATTGTCCGCCGAGCTGCCGTTTATTTTGATGAGAGCGAAGCCTGTGGACAGGATCAAGGTGGTGAACGCTGACAACATGGAGGTGGAGGATACTACCGAGGAGAAGGTGAAGCCGGAGAGCAGCTAGAGAGGTTGCGAGATGTGTCGAGGGAGGGAAGAGTATTTTGGGGGAGGATCTGTAATAGTTTGTGCAGTACCGATTCTTGCGGTATCAACGATTAGTCTTCGACGTTGGAACTCGATAAAGAATAATTTCCGGCCGAGTAATTGTCGAAGAATGGAAGCAATAATCTGTAATAGTTTACACGGTACAGTGTTTAAAGATCTCGAAGATTTCGTACGGTATTATAATTAATCTTCGACGTTCGATTGCAATGAAAAAATAATTTTAGGGAAAATAACCACCGAAGAGTGGAATCGATAACTTGTAATAGTCTGTACAGTACCGTATTTCGGGATCTCAGGGATTTCGTATGGTATTAATAATTAACCTTCGACGTTGGAAGGGAAAAATAATTTTGGGGAGAGTAATTGTCGAACCGTAGTCGTACCGTATTTAGGGATCTCAGGGATTTCGTGCGGTATTAATTTAAAAAAAAAGAAATAATTGTCGAATAATGGAATCGATAATCTGTATTAATTAACACTGTATCCAAAAATCTTGAAAATTTCATACGGTACTAATAATCAACCTTGGACGTTTGTCAGAAGAAAGTAATTGTCGAGGAATGGAATCACTAATCTGTCCTAGTTTACACAGTACCTAAAGATCTCGAAGATTTCCTAATAGCAATAAAACAGCATTCGTTAGACGACGATAGCGACGAGATCAAGCAACGGAGGCCCTAAACATTCCACGATGTCAAAGAGAGTGGTCCAGCGCACCTGGTGTGGGTTAATGATCTTAGGAATCCCAGGCTATCGATCATCGGCGTGAAGGTAGATGAAAGTGAATCGTCCGACGTAAACGAAACACATTCCTACGTGCGAATTATTACCTGTAGCTGTCGTTTGCACCTTAGCCTTCCTTAATTGTAAAACAAACGTAGAATAAAGCTGTATGCATCGTCAAGACAAACAAATTCTTACCCCTTTCTCCCTATCTCAACCCAAAGAAATTCAGCAAAAAATTCAACGTTCTTCCATGAAAATATTACAAACTTTTCCTCCGACATTCTCAATTTCTGATTAAACAAAACAGCAATTATCGACAGACTGTTGCGATACGAGGTAAAAAGCAGCCGCAAATACAGACACTCTTTATCTGGTTTCCTGAAAATTTCCAGACTCTCTCTGTGCGAAAGAGAGGCGGTCGTATTTCCTTCGGATAATTGCATCGGTGAGAAGTCTTTCTATCAGAGCGAACGAAGAGGAGGACGGTGGTAGAGAAAGCTCGGTGAATTTCAATGTTGAACTTGGTCAACCAAGTACCAGCTCCTCGGCAGAGCGCCGATAGAAGTCACGTTGCAAGGCACGAACTACGTTTTTCGACGTCGTCCTTCCGCGTTCCCTTTCTCCGCGAGGCGAGTCCTCGCCGCGATATCGGCGAACAAAGCGCGGAACGCCGCGTTATCGGGACGAGCTTGTCCCTCGTTAATATCTAGCGAGCCGCGATTAATCAGCCGCTTCTAACGACAGATAACCACCGTTTTTACTCGTTTTCAACGCGAAGAACGGGTACGCCGAGCAACGAAAAATAAAAGCGACGTTCCCTGGCTTTGTAGGAAAGGGTTATTCACCTAGCGAGAGGAGAGTAATTGTAATAATCGCGAGTTTATTGCGCGAGGCAGATAAATTGCAATTGACAGACCGATGTGGAGGAAAAGGAAGCTGTGCGATGAGAAAACGGCGTGGATTATTAGGAAATCGTTCTTCGAAGGTAATCATCGCCTCTGAGTGAGAATCAACTTTTGACACTGAAATTGTTCTCGATTTGACCCGTCCAAAATGACGAATTGAAGTAAGTTTCTCAATGTTTATAATACTGTAACTTACGTTTCTGTTGTAATAAAAAGGACAACGTAATTGCAGAGTAATTAAGCGAAATTAGCTGAAGTCCTTTTCAACTCGATCCGCCCCAAAATGACGAATTTTTCTTTCATTATTTCTTAGGCGGGTAAAAGTAAGTTCCACGATGTTACGTATAAAGTAATACGGAAGGCGAAAGAGAGTGATTAAACAAAATTGCACTTTTCCGAGGTTAATAAACAAGGCGGCGTGTAAAAAAGGCCAACTATGACACGGAGGGATCAATATAACCGAGATCGTTGCGCAATCCGGAGTATTTCGCGAAGGAGAGCCTGTTAGAGGACAAGGTCGACCATTTTCTATGACGCAACCTCTCGTCGCTATCCTCTCTGGCCTGGAAAAATAACGCTTCTAGCGTGTTCTGCGTCTGAGAAAGGCGATCGATCCGGCCCGAGCCGAACTGTTATCCGCAATTTCGTCGAAGGACCAACCGAAGAGACACGCTTCCTTTCGCAAGCCTACATTCCCTCTCTCCCCCTCGAGGAAACCGAGAAAAAAAGGCGCACGAGTAAACGTAGAGCGACGCGTTAATAGAAGAACGAGGATCCTGGCGAGGTAAGGTCCTGGTAGAAGGTCCTCGCCGCCACCCTGTACACGTATCTCTACCCGCTGGGCGTTGGAGCAAAGGCGGCAAGCCCAGGGAACGTCGGAGGAACAGAGACGAACCTCTTCTTCCAGCAGCAGCAGACACAGAGGTTACGTATAGCGAGGAGAAGAGAAGAGAAGAGTAGGTAGGGATGGGATAAAATTAGAAAGAGAGGTCAGAAAAATCGTAGGGACGTGGTAAAAGGGGATGGAGATAGAGAGAGAGAGAGAGAGAGCGAGAGTGAAAATCGAAGAGGAAGAGAAGAGCGGCGTGGTAGTAGGGGCGAAGAAACGTAGAAACGTGGAAGAGAAGAGAAAACGAGACACAGCGGGAGGGGCAAGAGCACGCCAACCACGTATATTACACTAACTCACACGCAGAGGTAGAGAGAAGCAAGGATATGTACAGAGAAAGAGAGAGAATGCGAAGAAAGATCGAAGGAAGAGAAGAGAGAGGTCCGAGCGTTGCATGTAGTGCGGTGTGTGGGTGAGAGAGAGAAGGAGGGAGTTAGATAGGCGGGCAAGCCGCGAGAGCGAGAGAGAAGGAGGGAAGATAGTAGGGGGTTCGGTCGGTCCGCAGGCTTGGCTGGTGCGTCAGTCAGGCTCGAGACACCCGCGAGAACGGAGCGGTGGTTGCCTCCCTTATTCGGTACGTACGTTCGATGCGCCCCCTCCATCACCCCCTGCCCACCTAACAGCAAGTCTCTGTCGAGGCAGTGTCGCGCAGAGTGTCGTACGAGGCGTATTGCTCCGCGTCTATCTCTCTCTTTCTCTCTATCTCTCTCCTATCCCCTTTTTCATCGGTTGTACTCTCTGCGTCTATTTGTATATACGTAAAGCGAGCCTCGTGACCCTTTCGACTTGGTCGTTCTGTGCACGCGTCAGAGAGAGGATTGGAGGAGCTATTCTACCGAGCAGAAGCCATAGAGCGAGGAAGATAGAAGAAAGAGGTTCTGGAGGAGAATCTTGGAGGAAGAACGAGGACGGTGGCGGCTACGCTGCGCTAGCGGTCGAGTGAGTACCTTGGACAGCCTTGACTCTGCCCTCTCTGCTCTTTCCGTCTTTCTCTCTCTCTCTCTCTCTCTCTCTCTCTCTCTCTCGTTCCGTATTAAGGTTAGCTCTTCCAAAGTTGGACGGTATATATTTTCTCGCGAAAGGACAAACGCGTGTGCCTCTGACCGGGCGGGCGCAACAGACACCGGCGAAAACTCACCGATACGCGACGAGTTTCTCTTCTCCCGCGGCAGACGGTGGCATTGATTTCCTCCTCCCGTCCTCTCGCGCGCCGCCCTTCCCTTCCTCCCTATGTACGCGCGATCGCAATCTCGTAATTTCCAGCGGAACCGTTTCTCATCTCTCTCTCTCTCTCTCTCTCTCTCTGAATGCCTCGAAAAGCAATGGAAACTCCCTTAAATCTCATCCAACTCGTTTCTCCATCTCGAAACAACAACCAGGAGAACTGTGCGCGTGCATCTGTGTCTGTGTGTGAGCAAAGGTCGGAAGAGTGTAAGTGGGATAGAGAGAGGATCTCGGCAGAGGGAAGATGGAGGCCGAACAACCGAATATTTGCTTTGAAAAGCATCCTCAGACGTGCACGTATATATCTGTTGGCCGGTGCTGTTTGGAAGAGCGAGCGGAGGAATGTTTGTTTGCTCTCCGCGAGGATTCTTCGAGAGGACGAAAAGCGTGCAAGAGCGGAGGAACGAGTTTCTCCGGCACGCCGGAGCGTAATTTCACGCGAAACACTCGCAACCTTGAACCACCGAGCGGCTGGAACTCGGTGTACGAGGCTGGTCCCCAGCGTTCAGGGGCGTTCGAAACGCGGCCACAGGCTTCGGCAGTGCGATCACGAAACTCCTTCTCTTCCATCCTCCAAATATCCGATTCCTCGTCGAACCGAAACCTACGAGACGTGTTCCAGTTTATTCCAACTGTGTACACGCTTCTTAAACGAACCTAGTCGTCGTCGTCCTTTACGATGACACGTATACCGTAGTATTATTGGAGTAAGGTGGCGCACGATTCAGATATCTCTATTTATAAACAGACTACCTTCTGTTTGCTCGTCGGAAACGGCGGTTGTTCCCGCACGCGCCTCTGTTTACCGTGTCGTAAAAGCGAGAGTGTTTGCTTGGATCGTTTAAATAGGCGACCAAGGTCCTTCGAATCCGCGATTCACCACAATTTTCTTTATTTCATTTATCGGCAATTAGCAGACTTTCGATCGCGTTGTGGAAATTTCGACGGGAAACTTAAAGTCGCATCGTGAAATCGTAATGGGCCAAAGTGGAAATCCTTGAACCAAATGTTCAATTTAACCTTTCAATTTACCTAAGATTTCTTTACTTCTATCTTAGGGAATATTATTCCGATTACACCTCGTCCAAATTTTCCTTCTGCTTCGCTGGAAGCGTTCGATATTATAACGGAGTCAAAATGGACGGTTAAATAGAGGAGCTCGATCCCCTAACCTCAAAATTCACGAAAATCCTCAAATTACAATCCCCTTAACCTCCAAATTCACACCTAAATTGCCTTCGTTAGCAAGTATTATCCTCGCGATCGTCCCGAAATTTTCCCCGTACCTCCCTGGAAGCGTTCGATCGCGTAACGCAGTCAAAATGGTCGCTGAAGCGGAGGACCTCTCGCTTAACCTAAAAATTCACGGAAAACCTCGATTCGAGGCTCCGTCTGACCCTCGAGTTTCCCTAAATCCTCGACACTTCGTATCGACCAAGTGTCTTTTTCGCCCACGTTCGCGACGTTAAATATCGCACGGTGACTCCGACCGGTGCACATACACCGTGCGGTGTTCGTTCGGTTGGTTCGAGGCGCAGGTATAGAGGACTGCGTGTGTTGGAACGCTTATCGCGAGGCTGGAAATCGAGAAGCACGAATCGTCGACCTCGAACCGTGCTTTCATACGGTATTAGTCACACGTAGCCGACCGATGAATATTTCAACGTTACGCGGCACGGCGCACACCGCGTGCACGCCCGTGTTGCAAAGCATTCCCCGCGTGTCGTTTTTCCGTTGCGAAACGCCGCAGCCTCTATAGTAATCCCTGTGGATAAGAGATCGGCAATAGTTGTGTGTGGTGTTTCAACTCGGTGGACCCGCATCGATTTCACTTCTACACAACACACCACTCGTCGAGCCGTGGAACACTTTTCCTGCTTCGATTCTCGAGTCACCTCCAACTATTGTCCCAGTTGACGTTGAATGGCTTCTGTTGCCACTTAGCCACCACGTACACACCGCGATGTGCTCGAGAGACAGGGTGGTATGTTGCATCGTGAAAGAATTTGATTCTCCTTCGAGCTTCTTCAGGGTATGCGTATGCGTGTATATGTATATCGATGTTTGAGCGTGGTTTTTGTAGGTTGAAAAAGGGGGACCACGAGAGTGGTGTTGTAGATGGATTTTGAAGTGGAGTGGGTCTGAGGTATAATGGCGAGTGTGTATTATCGTGTTGTTAGAATTGCAAATGCGGTTGGAGAACGGTGGGACATTGTTTCGCGATTTCGTACCGGTGTATGTGTAACGCGAGGCAGAGGAGGAATAGTTTTGGCAATTCGTTGTGGGATAGTTGATCGGTTCAGGTGATTTTTGATACATGGGTAGGTGGTTGATGACAGTCGGTTTGATTGGGTTAATTATAGATAGCCTTTGATAGAGCGATAATTAGAAGTCTGTGTTGACGCATTGGCAACCAATTTTCCTCTATGACATTGTTACGTTTAGGGTAATTGGGTAGGATGAAAAATTGCCAAAGTGGAAATGTTCGTGGATGCGAAGTTTAACATATTGTCAGCTTTGCTAGTGCTCCGAATCATTTTTTTCTGTGGTGTTACGTACAGTATAATTGGATACAACGAAGGTTCCGAAAGTGGAGATAGCTAAGAATGCATATTATTACATTTAGCGAGCTATCGTTCGACTTTAGTTAATATTCCGACACAAACTTTTCTCTCAATTTTTTCTACTGATCTAGACACCTATTCACCTGCAACTGGTTCAGTTAATGACAGAGATACCTGAGAGAAGATAAGGATAGCGTGCAATAATTCAGGAGAATTAAAAATTTAGAAAATGGAAATCCATACTGACACATTGCCAACTTTTCTATTCCAAACAATTTTTCTCCAAAACATTATTACATCTAACATAATTAGCTAAAATAAAAAATTCCCGAAGTGGAAAAAACTTTTCTCCCAATTTTTCTATAAAACTTAGACGTCTATTCCCCTGCTATTGGTACAGTTAGTAATGGCAGAGACATCTGAGAGAAGATAAGAATAGCGAGTAATAGCACAAGAGAGTAATAATTTAAAAAATAGAAATCCATATCAACGTACTGCCAACTTTTCTACTATTCCAAAGGATTCCCAAAGTGGGTATGCCTATGAATGCACACTTACATCTAAAAAAACAAATATTTCTCAATTTTTGCTACTGATCTAGACCCCTATTCACCTGCAACTGGTTCAGTTAATGACAGAGATACCTGAGAGAAGATAAGGATAGCGTGCAATAATTCAGGAGAATTAATAATTTAAAAAACAGAAATCTATATCAAGGCATTGCCAACTTTTCTACTATTCCAAAAGATTACCAAAGTGGGTATGGCTATGAATGCACACTTACATCTAAAAAAACAAACATTTCCCAATTTTTGCTACTGATCTAGACCCCTATTCACCTGCAGCTGGTTTATTTAGCAATTCACATTAAAATCGTGGTGCAGGTTTATTCTACACCGAACTCTTCTCCGAATAGAGCAGAACGCAGTCGGCTCTGGATACTGCGCGTGCTGAAAACGTAGCCCGAGCCTCGGGTAGGTGGCCGTGGCAGGGTGTAGCCGGTCAGAGTCCTGCCCGATGCATTCGCGATCCTTCCGTTTCAGCGTCGTTCGACGTCGTCCTTCGCGAAACCGTGTGCTCCTCTCGCTCGCTCCTCTCGTGACTGGATAACCTCCCAGCCCGCTTATCGTCGCTCGTGGTCGCAAATTTTCCGGAGGATGCACGGGACAGATGAAAGTACGCCACCGGGGACTAGATAGACCGTTGAATTATTCGATTCTCCGCGGGGGCAAGTCTGCTATCGATAGATTGAATATGAATTATTGAACGGTCTAACACAGATAGAGGAAGAAAGGAAGGGAGGGGGAGGGCAATCTAGACGCTTTCGCGTTGAGGACGATCACCTGGAGCGCACTCGAAACCATCCAGCAATGTGGAGACCCTCTGTCGAGTCAGCAATCGTCGCTTACGATCTGATTTTTTCTTTGGATAAAGGGGAAGTCGAGGGTGGAGGTTTTTTTTTTTAAGAGCTTCGGGGATTATTGTGTTTTTTTTCTTCTTCTCTTTCTCGTGGGGCAGCGAAGGATTAGCCTGAGAGAATAATTAAGTGAGAAGGTGTTGTGGAAGCAGCTACTGTTTAGAATGCGAGGATTTTGTGTAGCTGGAGTAACCCAGTCGTCTTCTTCTTGTAATCTGAATTTTTCTTTGGATAGAGGGAATTTCGAGAAGGCAGTGAGGATGAATTTTTAAGATTTTTAAGAGCTTCTGGGATTACTATGTTTCTTTTTCTTTTTCGTGGAAGCGAAGGATCAGCCTGAGAGAATAACGAAGTGATAACTACTGTTTACAGTGCAAGGATTCTATAGTAACTCAATCGTCTCCTCCTCGCAATCTGATTTTTCCTTTAGATAGAAGGGAAATTTCGAGTGTGCAGTGAGATGGATTTTTAAGAGTGTGTTTCTTTTTCGTGGAAGCGAAGGATTAGCTAGAGAAGATATTACAGAATCAGCAAGGACTTTGTATGGCTGTAATAACTCAATCGTCTCCTCGCAATTTAATTTTTTCCTCGGATAAGAGAAGAATTGTAAGTGTGCAGTGAGAATAGATTTTTAAGAGCTTGTTTTCCTTTTCGTATTAAAGTGAAGGGTTAGTTTGACAGAATAATCAAGTGAGAAAATAAAGCTACAGTAACTCAGTCGTCTCCTTCTCACA